CATGTCTGCATGGTTCCCGAACCCGTAGGGTCTACACACTTAAGGTTCGATGACGCTAGGGTTATAGGGAATAGATATATGTGGTTACCGAATGTTGTTTGGAGTCCCGGATGAGATCCCGGGCATCACGAGGAGTTCCGGAATGGTCCGGAGGTAAAGATTTATATATGGGAAGTCCTGTTTTGGTCACCGGAAAAGTTTCGGGTGCTATCAGTAACGTACCGGGACCACCGGGAGGGTCCCAGGGGTCCACCAGGTGGGGTTACCGGCCCCAGAGGGCTGCGTGGGCCAAGTGTGGGAGGGGACCAGCCCCAGGTGGGCTGGTGCGCCCCCCACCAGGGCCCAATGCGAAGAGAGAAGGGAAAGGGGGGGACCCTAGGCTCAGATCGGCCTAAGGCCCACCTAGTGGTGCCCCCCCCTCTCTCCCCCTTGGCCGCCCCCCTAGATGGGATATAGGACTGGCCGCCACCCCTAGGGGTGGAAACCTAGATGGGGGCGCAGCCCCTCCCTTCCCCTATATATAGTGGGGGTTTGGGGCTGCCATACACATGAGAACGTCTCCCTCTTGGCGCAGCCCTACCCCTCTCCCTCCTCGTCTGTTGCGGTGCTTGGCGAAGCCCTGCTGGAGTGCCACGCTCCTCCACCACCACCACGCCGTCGTGCTGCTGCTGGACGGAGTCTTCCCCAACCTCTCCCTCTCCCCTTGCTGGATCAAGGCACGGGAGATCTCATCGGGCTGCACGTGTGTTGAACGCGGAGGCGGCGTTGTTCGGCGCTTAGATCTGAATCAACCGCGATCTGAATCGCTACGAGTACGACTCCTTCATCCACGTTCTTGTAATGCTTCCTCTTAGCGATTTACAAGGGTATGTAGATGCACTCCCCTTTCCCTCGTTGCTAGATTACTCCATAGATTGATCTTGGTGATGCGTAGAAAATTTTAAATTTCTGCTACGATCCCCAACAGATATTAGTAGATGGAGCGCATTGATATTATGACCTCTTAGTCGAATGTTCACTCATGAAATTGTTATAAATCATCTTAGCACATTCAGACATTTTTTTGTCAATCTAAGGTATGATCTTCACTAAAAAAAGAAATCATTTCCAATCACTTTGAGAAGGCTCATAGTGCTATAGTTGACAAATTTGGAGAATTTTGCGTTATTATCCTGATGGAAGTCATGGCTGCAACATTCTGCTGTTACAACCTTTCTCCTCGTCACCGCGACACACATCCTTCCGTATTCTCATACACGGCTGCCATGCCAATCCTTAAACCAATAAATTGACCAACTATCACAGAGAAATAAAGGAACAAATGATCATCTTTTGCTTGAATTTGAAATCACAAGGTTTGCACTGTTTTGCTTCATGACGCCCACACAGATATTTGATTCACATTATCGAATTGTATGCGATATGTGCACATTTGCAATGTCAGGTTTTGTTTTATAGTGTCATGACTTGTTTAAACTTAGTGTCATTCTGCTCGGTGATTTTGTTCTCCGCCTACATGTATGTGCGGCACCGCGCTTGGCTCTTTGCATGCATGTCGTCGAGAATCAACCCCGTAGTGTTGTGGGCCAGACCCAGCTTGTTGCATGCACATATATGTTCTTCTCATTGGATCTATCAACATAGAGGCCAAGGCCAGCAGTGGTCTCCTCTTCGAGTCCGACCGAACCTTCCTTCGCTTTGTCATCACCGACAATAGTCCTTCCGTTTCGCCTCTTGTATGGCCTCATTCTCATCCCCTTTTATTCATTTTGATGACAAGTATTTCCGGACGGAGGGAGTACCATCATCTCAAGGCCGCATCGGATTGGACGTGTGCATGCCTTGGCAAGTCTACCTGGTCCTTCCTTCCAATCCTATACTCTTCTTCCATGTGGCCACCAAACATTTTTTAAAGCTTGTTTTGAACATTTATTAAATATGTGTTAAATATTTTTCAAATACAAACTGAATTTTTTTAACTTGTATGAAATGTTTTTTTCAAAACAACACGGGTACTTTTTTACACCATATAAACATTAACAAGAACATACTTTTGGAATGCATGAATGTTTTTTAATTATCGCATACACTTTTTGAATTGTATGGAACAATTTTTTGATTATGTGTTTTTGCATTGTATAATCATTTTCTAAAAACATATGAACATTTTTTGAATAACATGGAACATCTTTTTCCGAATTAAGCTAACATTTTGTTACAGTGTGTAAACATTTCTTAAAACTGGCACAAACATTTGCTCGAACACATGTGAATATTCTTAAATTTCACGAACATTGTTTTAGAATGCTATCAATTTTTTTTAGAAGTTACACGGACATTGTTTTTACACTTGATGATTTTTGTAATATGTAATGAATACATTAAAAATATTATATAAAGTTCTCCCTTCGGTCCTTTTTATTTTGCATGTAAGTTTCTCTTAAGTCAAAGTATCTCTAATTTGACCAAAATTATAGAAAAAAGTATCAACATTCATAATATCAAACCAATACTATTAGGTTCATTATGGAATGTATTTTCATATTATATATTTTTTGGTATTGTAGATGTTGATACTACTTTTTACCAAAAAATTGGTCAAACTTTACAATGTTTGACTTGGCACAAATCTTATATGTGGAGTAAAAGGGACCGGAGAGAGTAATTTTGTAACATATAAATATTATTTTGGGAATACAAATCAGAAAAAAAAACACGAAAGAAACAAAAGAAACTAATTAACTAACTAACATTTTCTTCAACTAATGGGCCGGCCTAGTAGCGCTTCACGCAGAGGCGAGGGGACACTCCCGCTTGCTGCGGGTGAGTTGTAGACACGCACACAAGCTGGCCAAGTTCACTAGTCAAGGCTTAATCCTTGCAAAGGCCACTCTCATATCTTTTGGTGGTTACAAGTGTTGCACTACATTGTCGAACCTAGAGTTTTGGGAGTTTAATTCCCACTGGTGGGAGGCACGAGTGTTTTTTTCCGCAGATTTGTCTTTCAAAAGGTTTTATATCTTGAATCGTGTGTCCAACTCACAAACCTTTCCGCTGCGTTTTTTGTGTCCAGATCTTCAAAACTAGATTTCATATTGATATTTTTCGAATAACTATTTTGGGGAAAAATCTGTGCTTCAAAACTGTACTAACACTTCAAAAACTGCACAAACAATGTTTGATTTTTGGGGAAGCACAACTGTGCTTTTTCATTCAAGAAGCATAAATATCATTCACACAGAAGCACACAAAAAAACACAGAAGCACACAAAAGCATAACTGTGTTTCACACGGACAATTCAAAACACGAATGCTCCTACCTAAAAGTAAATCAAAAAATTAACTAAGAAATAGAAAAACTCATCAATTAATTAAGTAAAAAGTTTAAAAGCCCAAAAATAAATATAGCAAAATTCAAAAAACTTACAAAGCCGCGCAAAAATAATAAAAATTGCCTGTCACACAAACAAGTGTATTGGTTGGACGCACCGCTTGAGACGCTCAGTGTTGTCTCAGTCATGAAAGTGCACGTCGGGGGTACTCCGAACTAGTCGTTCCCTGGCTCGCACCCACGGGAGCTCACTTAAGGCGAGAGTAGCTCTAATCTCGCGTGAAGCTTTTTTGTGGACGTGTAGTGCTGACTCGGCCCATTCTTAGCGTTTACTTCTTCTACGCTCGCTCGCTTGGTGGTTGGCTGTGTTCGCTGCAATTTTTGTCGTCTGTTTCCTTTTTCCTTTTTTTTGTTTTTTATTTCCATTTTCCTTGATTATTTACATGTTTTCTTCGAGATTTTTTCTTCCATTTTTCAATTGTTTTTCTCTTTTTTTAGATTTTTGACTGTATCGCACTCTTTTTCTTCGGTTTTCTTTGTTCTTTTTATTTTCATTGGCATACTTTTTTTTTTCTGTGATTCATATGTTTCTTACAAGTTTTCATTGTTTGCACTCTTTTGCATTGGTTTTCATCGTTTCTTTTTCTTTCTTATACTTATTTTGATTTTCTTGTTTCTTTCTTAGTTTTGTTCATTTCCTTTGGTTTTTTGTTTACCAGCATTTGTCGATTTTACTTTTATTTTTCAATATATGTCTTCATTTTTATACAAGGTGTGCATTTTTTATGTACACCCGAAGCATTTTAACGATACATGGTTAACAATTTTCAAGTACATGATGTACATTTGTCTTAAATACCTATTTTGAACTCTTTTTTGAATACATGTTCAAAAAAATTCAAATTCACTTTGAATAATATCTCATGGCAATAACATTGTTTACACACAATGTAAATGTTTCGTACACATCATGAACATCTTTATATACATATTTATCATTTTTCAAATGGTCAATTAATATATTTTAAATATATATGTAAAGTTTTTTTAGTATATACATTTAGAATATTTGAAAGTATAAAGAAAAGTAGTAAAAGGAAAGTAAAAGATGAAAATAAAAAATATATAAAAAACGAGGCTGTGGCCTGTGGCCTCCCGCGTGCTGGGTCGACCCGAGCGCGACGTGATATTTGTTTTTGGTGAAGGGTGTGCTTAGGTCTCAGCCGACTGAGATTTAACCAAGTCTCAATCAAGTGATACTACTTTTTATAAGAAGAAGAAAGAAAAGGCTGAAAATGTTTTTTTGTTGTATGAATCTCCACGCAAGATCTGAGACTTAGCAAAACTGTCAGGTGAATATAAGAGGAAGGAAAAAAAAAGGAGCGCCCACTTGGGCTTCTGCTCGCTCGTCTCCGCAGGCCGAGCCGGGCCAGAGAATGGGTGCGCGCGTGCGGCCCATCCGGAGGTGATTAAGAAAGTAAACCCTCCTCGGTGGCTCGTCTTCCTCCTCTTATCCAGTGCGGCCCCGGGGCCTCCCTGCGCTGCGCTTTATATCTCCTCTCCTCCTCCTCCTCCTTCGGCCTCGCCGCCAATGCCACTGCCACTGCCACTTGTTGACTGATTCACTCCCACGCCGGCCATTTCGCACACCAGAGAGGACTAGAGTTCCATGGAGGAGGGGATGCGGGTGGCGGTGGTGGGCGCCGGCGTGAGCGGCCTGGCGGCGGCGCACGAGCTGGCCCGGGCCGGCGGCGGGGCGGCGCGCGTGACGGTGTACGAGGCGGAGGAGAGCCTCGGCGGCCACGCCAGGACCGCCGACGTCGACGGCGTCCCCCTCGACCTCGGCTTCATGGTCTTCAACCGGGTACGTACCTACACATATGTAACCGCGTACGTGTACCTACGGTGGCAATACACACGGCCATGATATGCGTACCAATACGAATTCTCGACAACAGGATTCCCATTTAGGATGAGGAAAAAGTACATGAGGTTCGGGGAATAGGGTTCCGATTGTGAAGAATAAATATTCTTTTCATACCATTCGGAGGAAAAGAAAAGAAATGGCTATCCATAACTTTTTTTTAAAATTCATTTGCAGTTTAGTAGTATTTCGTAGAGATTTTAGAGGACCTCGTGTGTCATCTCTTTATTGTGGCTTTCGGCTCCTGTAGGTATATGGTGACAAAACCGACTTAATAGCCGAAAGTGCCTTTCTGCTCCCGAGCTCATTTGAGCTCGGTGAACAATAAAATCGAAAAAAAATTAATTTTTTTGAAAAAATTCTATTTTTTTGGGAAGAAACATTGACAAAAATTCTAAGTGCTTGCAAAAAATTATCATGAAATCACATTCCTGTAAGGCATGGCAGAAAAAACAAATTCAGACTCCAAAATGCTTTTGAAAGTAGCATTTTTAGAGTATCGATTTTTTTTTTGCCACGCCTTCTAGAAATGTGATTTCATGATGAATTTTTGCAAGCACTTAAAACTTTTGTCAATGTTTCTACCAAAAAGAGTTTGGATTTTTTTAAAAAAAATCGATTTTTTTTTCGATTTTACTGTTCACCCGAGCTCAAATGAGCTCGGGTGCAGAAACTCCACGTCCCTTAATAGCCCCCATCTTATCTAGTACTTAGGAAATAAAAATCTGTTTTCTTCAGTAAGCCAATAAATAATGGCCGAATAAAGTCTAAAAGAAAAACTAAAATCTTTCTTCTTTGGTAAGACAACAAGTGACCATCAAATAAAATAAATTTTCTGATACTCAACCACACTAATAAAAATGGCAGGTAAATTATGGCAATCCGTAAAAGGTCCACTAAAGTTTGAAGGCCTTCAATGCATAAATAATGTGTGTGCAGCTGCGGCGAGCTGACCAACTATAAAATAATTTATGCTTCCATTGCAACGCACGGACAACTATCAGTGCATTATTTTAAATTACGTCCAACATACTAGTAGTATCTGGCGGCATTCTTTATGATGTCCAAGCGAGAACCATGTTGGCATTTTTGCCTCAATAATCCATCCGGTAACCATGTCGGCATGCACTGATCACGTGGATTCTTACCCAAAGTGCTCACCCAATTGCATCGACCGATACCTTTGTGCTTTGTGGGGCTCCATAAGGTAGTGGGTAGGTAGGTAAACCGTCGGAATGGCCGGTGTGTGGCGAGCGGGCGACGTGGACGCCGTGATCGCCTCACGACGGCATGGTCGCACGGCCCAGACAAAACTGAGGACGACGACGCCGACACATGCACCAATAGTTCCATTTTCACCTTTTTTTATGCTACATCTGACGATGCCCACCGTTTATTTTTGCGCAACCAGTCAATCCAGCTACATATGCCCATCTTTGATTAGTTCACTGCCAAAGCTACGTGCAACTGGGCATCTCTCAGTCTGGCCCGTATTGGTGCTACTGTTCTGCCTCGGCATCTGTCTACGTCGTCTCGCGTTAACAACTGTGCCACATTAGTGGGAACTAATTAATGAGTAATGAGCAGTACTGGTGGTAGAGTACTCCCTCCATCCATGATTAAGGGCCCGTTCGGTAATGCTCCGCTCCACAGCTCCGCTCCGGGAGTTGGCGGAGCTGCAGCTCAAATTGGCAGAGTTGCAGCTTGCCCGCTCCGTAGATTCTAGGAGTGGATGAATACCGAACAGGGCCTAAGTGTATGTCTACCTTTTGTTTCAAGTCAAAGTTTTAAAATTTTAACCAATTATATAGAAAAGAGTTGTACACTTATTCGTGGACGGAGGGATTACTAAATATCACCCGAAAGAAATGCAGCTTACTTCCTCCGGAAGTCCCGCCCCATATGCCCCTTGTACCCTGTCACGATCCGATCGCCAAGGAGCTCCTCAGCGTCCCACCTCGAACCCATGAAGCCTCTGACTTGCATCCGCTTGTGACGCCATGATCGCCTTACAACTCGTGGCAACATTTTCCTCAATCCGGTAGTACTATTGCATCAATCGGCATTAATCACTCAATAAACAGTAGTTGTACCTCCTAACCAAACAGCTTAATCAATCAATCAGTTGCATCATCGATCTATCTACAGTCCATGGAGGAAACCTCAAATGTAGGTGGACGATGGAGATGGCTGGTGGGTGGTGAGCAGGCGACGTGGACGCCATGATCGCCTTACAATGATTCTCTCGCGCGGATCGTGACAATAATTAAACTCTTTTTACAATGATTTATTATATTTGATTTATATATAGTCTAGGATAATACTGTAGAATAAAAAAATATTTTCCATGCATGGTTGCATGTGGTGGTGATTTTGTTTCATGCTTGGTTGCACGGTGAGGTGAGCCTTATCCTATCCGTAATTGTATGATGATGTGGTATGCTTGAATGTTAAGATAAACAAATTAGTGGAGATCACTCTCTTAGATATATAGGATTTGTGCAATATTCGCATAGGATCCTATGTTGTCCAAAACCTCCAACGTTAAACAGCGTGCAAAACAATCTTCCATTATGAGACGGAGGGAGTACTAGTTTTAAATAGATGATATTATCATGAAGATGCCGTTAACTTTGACTAGTAAAGTATAGGATGTTATATTGCTTTGTTAATGGAAATATTATGATCACATATTTTTCATGTTTAACACAATATCATAATTTTATATGATATTCCTAACATATTCGCACGGAATTAGTTGACAAATTCAAACACTGAAGACCATGTCGATGTCCAAAACATTAACACTTACGAACCGAGCGAGTATCTTTTGTTATGTTCATTGCATGTTTTGCGATGGATGGCACTTCTAGTACTGTTTATGTATAAATCTTCAAAGGGACTTATGACCAGTCTCATTTGTGCAGTCACAAGCACATTTTCTGCAATCTAGCCACCTGAACCGCACATGTTAGTGATGCCATTGCTTTATCCCTTTCATTTTGGTACGGTCCTGTTTGTGCTTTCATCTACGTCTCCCCTTGATAACACTCGGTGGAAACTATGAACAGTACTTGGTAAAATTCATCGGGAAGAAACGGGTGTTCTTCCTTTCCTTTGTCCCGGTCTTTAGCTCTGACACAGGTCCAGTCGTTTTCAGAAAACCAGTACAACATGGACAACATAGAAAATGTCGGGCTTAACTGATTAAGTCAGGGATATTTCCCCGATTAACTGATTAAGTCAGGGATATTTGTTCTTGTGGAATCTGTGCAATGTTTTTAGTTTCCTCGCATGTGCAGTGGCTTCCATTATTCTGCCCAAGAAGAACCAGCTGTTCATTGGGTTCCTTAGCCAAACCTTGAATCGGGACGAGGACGGCGGCGACGACAGGGGCACATGTCCCAACAGTTCCACTTCCATCTTTTTTGTGCTTGCTTGAATCGGGACGAGGACGAGGACGTCTGTCAACACCTCTCATTGGCCAATTACTGTACCAGTCTGGTGGAAACTGATGCACAATTATGGTAGTACTAAATATCACCCGAGAGAGACACTTGTGTTGCTGTCATGCCACAGCAAGGCTGTTCCCGCTGGTTGGTTGGCTTGAGGTTTTCTTCGCTGTCTTTCCTTGTCACTGTCTCCCTAGTGCAAGCCTGGTCCAACTTTACTGCATCTGATTGGACGAGAATGGTCACCCTATCTGTTCGTGAGTTTATTTGTCTAGATGCATGGTCACACTCAGCCATTGAAATTCTGAGCCTTTTACACATTTGGCATGCTTTTCACTCGCTAAATTTATTTATTTGACCGCTCGCCAATAAGGAGTAAATTTCAGCTATATACGCAATTGCTATGTGTAGTTAGTCTGAATGCGAACATCTTAAGTATATTTAGTTACTTTTTCCCAATCCATCAAAGGGTTTGCGTAATTACTTCCATATATATGGGAAAACGTCGACGTTTGCTGGCTTATTTGGCAATACCATATTCTATCTTGAAAGACAAAAAATCTTGCTACATTCAAATGTAATTTCCCAAGAAACTATTCGTAGTCAATAATTGCAATTTGTACCTAGGCGAACACTAATACAGTGAGTTGCAAAACTTGACTAGTACTATCTCTAATCCAAATAGTCAAAATAGATGACGTCTCAGAAAACATGTAGTCTCTGACGTTGATTGAATATTTTTGCGTGGTTACTGTGGTTGGCCAAATGTATAGTTATATGTGTATATAATTAGACTTGAGATGAAAAAAATATCTTATAATTATTTATCTAAAAGTTTAAACTAGCATATTGATATAAAAGGCAACGATCAAAGTTGTGTTTCAAAGGCCATATTCATGTCTGATATATAGGTCATGTATTCTGGGACAGAGGATGTAATATATGAAAACAGACATCTAGATTCGCAATTTGCTATGCAGAATGAAATGGCAGCCGTGTTGTTGAAGTTGCTAAACCGAGTGAAATGGCAGCCAAATGAGCAAAAATACTCCTGAACTATCCATTTATTGAAACTAAGAAAAACTTGAATCTGTTAGCTACTGAATTTACACCTGACCATGCATCCAACTGCGCCAATAATGGCAGGTGACATACCCAAACATGCTGGAATGGTTCGAAGAGCTTGGCGTGGAGATGGAGATATCAGACATGTCGCTGTCAGTGAGCACGCAGCTCTCAGGCGGCGGCAGGTGCGAGTGGGGCAGCCGGAACGGCCTCTCGGGCCTCCTGGCACAGAAGAGCAATGCCCTCCGGCCCGCCTTCTGGCACATGATCCGCGAGATACTCAAGTTCAAAGAGGATGCCCTCAAGTACCTTGAGGACCATGAGAGCAACCCTGACCTGAACCGGCACGAGACTCTGGGGCAGTTCATCCAGACGCATGGATACTCCCAGCTCTTCCAGGAGGCTTACCTGATCCCAATCTGTGCGAGCATATGGTCATGCCCGTCGCAGGGGGTGCTCGGCTTCTCCGCTTTCTTCGTCCTCTCCTTCTGCCGCAACCATCACCTCCTTCAGATCTTCGGTCGGCCCCAATGGCTCACCGTCAAAGGCCGCTCGCATACATATGTAAACAAGGTACTCCAATTCCTATAAATGTATTGCACACTGTAGCTGTCACCTGCAGAAATACAGCGTCTGAACATGTGCATCCACAAAATAGGTAAGGGATGAGCTGGAAAACATGGGTTGTCAGATTAAGACCAGCTGCCAAGTCAAATCAGTTTCAAGCTTTGAAGGAGGTACATGATTCATTTAAATTTGTTTTTAAACCTGAATCCCTGTTCCTCTCCTGCAAATGATGCCATTGCTCACTGATTTCTGGCTGCAGGATACAGAGTCTTGGAGGTCGGTGGCTCGGAGGAGGTGTATGACAAGATCATATTTGGTGCTCATGCACCCGATGTTCTGAGAATGCTAGGGGATGAAGCAACACACGAGGAGTTGAGAATTCTGGGTGCTTTCCAATATGTCCACAGGTATGTAATCTGTGTCTGCTATAAAATTTAATTTATTGTAACTGCCTGGCCTGCTGTTCTGCTCATCTCTGAACTTCTCTGAACTATTAACATTGCAGTGACATATACCTCCATCGCGATGACACTTTGATGCCACAGAACCCGTCGGCGTGGAGCGCCTGGAACTTCTTGGGGACAACAAGCAGCGGCGTCTCTGTTACCTACTGGCTAAATCTCCTCCAGGTAAAGCTCATTATTGTTGGCGATGCATTGAATGACTTAGATCAATACTGTTATCTACACTGAACCCATTCTAATATTTATCACATTTTCGCTTGGAAAATTCAGAACATCGAATCCACCGGCAGGCCGTTCCTGGTGACGCTGAATCCACCTCATGTCCCGGATCATGTCGTGCTCAAATGGAACACCGGCCATCCTGTTCCGTCTGTCGCTGCTGCAAAGGCTTCGTTGGAGCTTCAGCAGATCCAAGGAAACAGGGGAATATGGTTCTGTGGGGCATATCAAGGTAACTCGTTGATTTTCTTTCTTTCAGCATATATTTAAGTTTATTACTACATGTTCTTCAGTTAAGTGGCTTATGTCCTGGGTTACACAGGTTATGGCTTCCATGAAGATGGCCTTAAGGTACTGCCTGTCCACGCAACTTTTTTTTCGTCTTCAGAGAAATGTATATTTGGCATTGATATCTATGTGTTTGATTTATCGCAGGCTGGGAAGTCTGCAGCTCAATGTTTACTTGGGCAGAAGAGCAGCCTTCTTCTGAACCCGAAACAGATGGTCCCGTCGTGGACGGAAACTGGGGCTCGCCTTCTGGTAACAAGGTTTCTCAACCAATATGTCACCATCGGTAACATGACGTGAGTCCGTCCTTGAAACTCCAGATTTAATCCCAGGATTTATATGGTACAAATCCTAACTTGGTTATTTTTGCTTGCCCCCAGCATTCTTGAAGAAGGTGGCACTATGTTCAGTTTTGGTGAAGTCGACAAAAAATGTCTTGTCAAAACTGTCCTGCGAGTTCATGACCCTCTCTTCTACTGGAAGGTTCGGCTACTGTCTCTTCTCGTTTTCTCTTCAGTTCTTGGTGGTTAATTTCCTGAGATTATCTCCTGTGTGAAAACAAAATGTTCTTTCAGGTCGCAACCGAAGCGGATCTTGGTATGGCAGATGCATATATTAATGGTTATTTTTCTTTTGTTGATAAAAGAGAAGGGCTCCTGAATCTTTTCCTGGTAAACAAAATCTGCATTCTACTCGATTAATCGGACAAACCATTTATGTGCATCTTCACTAAGACATTTGGCTTCAGATTCTCATTGCTAACAGAGATGCGCAGAAGAGTAGTAACAGTGCTGCCGGTAAAAGGTACTAAATTTACAATGTTTGAAGTGATCAATCATCCAGTATGTAACTGTATGGTTAATTGGCAGGGGTTGGTGGACGCCCATGCTTTTAACAGCTGGGATTGCATCGGCAAAATATTTCCTCCGCCACATCTCAAGGAAGAATACTGTCACGCAAACTCGCCGAAACATCTCTCAGCACTATGATCTGGTCATTACCAATGCATCTTCCTCCTGCTGTCCTCATCTCTGTCTGGATGTTCTCACTGACAAATCAGAATGCCCATGCAGAGTAATGATTTCTTCTCGATTTTCCTGGATCCATCGATGACTTACTCGTGCGCAGTATTCAAGGTTTGTGAATCATATGATCAGTAGTAGTGTTAACTGCCTAACTGTGCATCCAGCATGCGAATTAAGTGGTGTGAAATCTGTATAGGTGGAAGATGAAAGCTTGGAAGTAGCCCAGCAACGCAAAGTTAACCTCCTAATCAAGAAGGTAATAGTACTGATATAATTATTAAACCTTGATGAATACAGTACATGCATACATGATCTGATAAATATGTAATAATGGTAGGCTAAAGTGGAGCGGAATCATCATGTTCTTGAAATCGGTAGCGGTTGGGGCAGCTTGGCAATGGAAGTGGTGAAGCAAACGGGATGCAAGTACACAGGGATTACACTGTCTGAGGAGCAACTTAAATATGCTCAAATGAAAGTAAAGGAGGCTGGTTTGGAGGTAAATTATGAGTTTATACTACCTTCAGAGTTGAGACACAAGTCTCACTTTTTTTCGACACTGACCGCACTTAAGATTAAGATGTCCTTGGAGAACTTAATCCAATTTAACAAGTGCTCCGCTCTATTGTCTATTTACAACAGCATTGATATGCTTTATTTTTTCAGGATCGTATAACTTTTCTGCTGTGTGACTACCGTCAAATACCAAGCCGGTGTAAGTACGACAGGATCATATCATGGTAAGTAGTAATGCTGCTGTTCTCAATATGAATATATTGAATCGAAGGAAATATTTACCTCTTGTTGACACATGCAGCGAGATGATTGAAGGGGTTGGTCATGAATTCATGGACGATTTCTTTGGCTGTTGTGAGTCTCTATTGGCTCCAGATGGCCTATTTGTCCTCCAGGTTTCAACCAATCAACGCGAATACCACATCAATTCGCACCATCCTTTGCCAGAAATCATTGATCTTGAACCAACCGAAACCTAATATCTGCGTTTCTATGTATGCATGCAGTTCATATCGATTCCGGAAGAACGGTATGAGGAATACAGGAGAAGTTCAGACTTCATAAAGGAATACATCTTTCCAGGGGGTTGCCTTCCTTCCTTGGCCCGGATCACGTCAGCCATGTCCGCCGCGTCCAGGCTCTGGTACGCTGTTTGCATATATGCACCTTTCACTGCGATGAACGTATCGACATACTGAATTTTCTGAACTAGCATGTTTATTGTTACTGAACTTTGGAGACGATAGTGATGCGCACTGTTGTCTGAATGCAGCATCGAGCAGGTTGAGAACATCGGGTACCATTACTACCCGACGCTGATACGCTGGAGGGATAACTTCATGGCCAACAAAGAGTAAGCATCAATGCATCTCATCCATATGTTGAAATGTAAATAAATCCATAAAGCTTATAACACTAAGTGTATATTGCGTTTCTTGATTGCAGTGCCATTTTGGCTCTTGGATTTGACGACAAGTTCATCCGTGTATGGGAGTATTATTTCATATACTGTGCTGCCGGTTTCAAGTCACGGACGCTTGGAACTTACCAGGTAACAGTGTTCTTAGCCATGGAGTAGAATGTGTTTGCATGAATTCGACAATATTTGGTTAATCTAGTTCACAAAATTCACCAAATAACTTTTGAAACTAGTAAATAGTACTGAATACCCAGTTAATACTTGCTAAGGCATGTGCTTATGACGGTTTAATACTTGCAGATTGTGTTTTCTCGACCTGGCAACGACAAGCTGGCCTGCGTCGACAACCCCTACGCAAGCCTTCCGGCAGCCTAGGCAGCTCACTGAACAAGTGCACAACCATTCAAACTCATACCTATACATAGTAGGTAGCATTAATCATCCAGAAACTAAGGTCGAGAAATTGTAATTTCCATAGGAGTGTGTGAAGTGTCGATTATAGTGCTACCACAAGGTGATTCATTGATTGGTTCATGTAAGGCGTGGTTCACCATGGGTGAACATATATACCATCAGACATTTGTCCGCCGGCTTGCTCAAGGTCGTGGTTTTCTTCCCCCTCTCAGCATTTTCCTTGCAAGCCGTCGCCATCTCCCTATCAGCCGTCACTCGTCACCCGCTTCCTGCTTGGCTTTTGTCTCCGAGGAAAATCTGATGATATTTCGCTTGATTTTTATACTTGGGAGAAAATTTGAGCCTTCAGTATAACAAGAACGCCAAGCTACCAAGCCAAACTAGGGCCAGCAAGGTTAGGGTTTTCTCGGCGTACATGCGCTATGATGAGATTTGGTGCCGGCATTTTAGATCGATTAAAGGGTTCAACAGCGGCGACGGCGGTTCTAGGACGTAGATCCTTAGGTCAGGCCGACTTGGTATGGGAGTGGTGACGGTGGCACGTTGACGGCTCGTTTTGGTGGTGGTACTCGTCCTTCGGTGGTGAAGGGACCTTAGTATAATTTCTATTATGTTTAGGGTCCTTTGTACTGCTGGTGACCTTTTATAATAGATTTGTGTCTTCTGAAAAATATTAGTCCACACTCCAGACAAAAAGGAGTTTACCTGCTTTCATTGTAGCAGTCAAATAAATAGAAGGAAGAACCTCGAGAGGATGAAAAAAATAGAGCAAACATGTGAGACTAGTTCTGAGGACTCCTTAGTCATTCGAGACGAATAATGATATATTATTGTTTGAGATGATGCCATGAGTTGGACTATTGGTTCACGTGCATCCTTCCACGTCACATCACAATGGGATCACTTCACGCCATACACCAATACTGAAACTTGGGGTTGTCAAAAAAATGTGGACAAGGGCACTATTTTTTTTTTGAAGGGGACAAGGGCACTATTGTAACAAACACATATTCGGTGATGTGAGTATATCGCTGATATAAGGCCAAATCTATTTTTAGTGTACAAGCTTTTCTAAGTTACTTTCGGTGAAGGAAAATATATAGAACCTCGCCAAAGACTATGATGGTGACTCGAGGAACTAAGCAAAGGTTGTCCCTATTTGCCTAAAACAAGTTGTGCAATGAAGTGTTGAGCATTGATAAGGAGAAACTTTGGCTGACTTTTCGCACATATCAAACATCAAATATGAGCATTTGTGCAGCAGTGCTAGTTGCTAGTCAGGAATATGATAATCATTTTTTAGTTGTTGTTTGACATGACAAAAATATTCTAAAACACCGGGAGAAAGGAAGAACGAGTGTATTTCTCTTATATACTCGGGGAAAGGTAAAAAAAATGTATGCGGACGTGCCAGTGTACAAAGTACACAAAGGAAGGCGGTACGGGATACAAGTATTCATTAATCTCATTGAAGAAATAAAATTACAAGATCCCATAATGAAAAGTGCGCTCCGTGGCATACTAGCGTGGCTAGGCTGACTGTGGCGGTTGTGTGATCTCCTGGTTCCTGGGATTACTCCCACGGATTGCACCGTGGGATACCTCCGATTGAGCTGTGTGGTCATTTTTGTTGTCTCCGCTAGCTTCACGTTCTTCATGCATGATGATGGTGGTATGAGTATGGGGCAGCGGCAGAGCTCGTGTCCTCATTGATACACGCACCACAAGTAGGTGTGGCCTTTGCGGTGGCCACGCCCGCCCCGCCCTCCCCGTCGTGCCTCGTCGATCTTGACGACGTTGGAGTAGTAGTGGTTGGGGTAGCACGGTTCATGCTTGGCTCGGACTTCTCGACAAGTGGCTCTATCGGGGTATGCAAGGGGCTACGCCTCGCGAGAGTAATTGTCGGTGGAGACCGTTGTCGGTGTAAGACCGTCGCGTTGCTCACATCAGCAGGTCGACGCCTTGTTCCGGCCAGACATCGAGTCCGCGGCAGTCGGTGTAGTCAAAGGCATCGTCTCACAAGTTCACAGAGGAGCATTGTTGTTGTTTTCATCGACTCTGGCCGTGACATGGATGGCGTCAACCTAGGCGTCCGTCAGAATATTCACGTGGACACGCAGGCTGGGCCATGTACGCACTCACGTGCAGATCCGGAGTACGTAAGTTGTCGTGCTTTGTTCTTTCTTGCTTTGGACGATTGGGATGGTCTTGTTGCACTGGGATAGCCGTCTCGTGCAGCAAATGAACAACAACCAGGGGTGCCGATTCCAGGGGAGCGGCCCTCTGTGTCCTCGTTTTCTTCGCCATGTGTCCCTCAGGTGTCCGTACGACGCGACAAAGTGGACGCCAGTGGTGTGGTGACGAGCTCCGTGTCATTGTCGTCCACGGCGCCGGCTTTACGAAGTCAATCGTCGGCAGCAGGCGCGTCCATGCAGGCAGGATCCACGTCTTCGTCCTCTATGTCACCGACACAATGAACTAATGAAGCAGGCGAAGGGCGTGACAGCGAACTCCGGGCCTCCGTCTTGAATGGCATCTCTCCGTATCGTCGTCCTTCATGTTGTTGAGCTCCGTGTCGCTCTCGTTGCCGACGCTGGGTTGACAAAGTCGTCGGCGGGCGGCGTCCTTCACGGCGTGACGGCGAACTCCGGGTCTCCGTCTCGAACGGCATCTCTTCAAAGCGACGAAGCATAGGACGGGCTGCGTGATGTTGAGCTTCGTGTACCCATCCTTCATGGTACCGGCTTGACGACATCAACGGTGGGCAGCATCGTGGCGTGCTCTATGTCGTTGTCTTCCGCGGCACCATCGTGATGAAGTGGACACGAGCGGTGCCGTCGACCTCCATGGCGCCGGCTCGACGACATCAGCGGTGGATGGCGGCGTGGTGTGCTCCATGCCGTCGTCTTTCGCGACATCATCATGATGAAGTGGATGCGAGCGACCTTAGTGCCGTCGACCTCCATGGCGCCGGCTTGACAACGTCAACTGTGGGCGGCGCCATGGGGGGCTTCATGTCGTTGTCTTCTACAGCGCCGCAGTGATGAAGGGGGCGCGAGTGGTGACGGAGAGACTTGGTGCCAACGACCTCCATGTCATCGTCCTCCACGGTGCCGGTGGCTCCATTCCGGCGGCAGCCCGATCATGCCAACGGCCTCTTCAAATGTTCAACATGGTTTATGTGGTGCCCCCGCGCGCGTGTGTGTATGCATGAGCGAGCTCGTTGTGTCTGCGTCGGGTGCTCCTCTCTCTCTATCGCTGGTCTACGCGAGTCGTTTTTCCTCTCGGGAGGCGACTAGAAAACCCTAGCCGCCGCCAGCGAGTTTCTTCCACCACGTTCCTCCGGCGGCTCCCCTTCGTCGACGACCGAGGTCGTCGGCGGTGAGGAGGGTCACCGGATCCACGTGTGTATAGTTTTTAAGCTAAAGTAGCTTCATTTTTAGGTTGTTCGTTGTGTTGAATTCGGCGGTGGCGATGACGACACTGAATAAAGATTCATCAGATTCTTCTCCGACAAGGCGATCGGTCCTATGGTTGGGGATGATTTTGGAAACCAGCCTGTTCAAGTAAGGATGGTGTGCCGGCAGCGTCATCCTCGTGCTCGACACGTTTCCTTAGGCTTTGCCATTGCGACAGCATCTACACCAACGTCGGCACGGAGCTTGGGAGATAATCCAGGAGCAGAAGCAGATTGTGGTCTGCATCAACGACATCTGAAAGTCAGAACGTGTGCTCGGTTCGTGGTTGATGGATGGCAGGTGTGATTTCCTCCATCAGCGTCTTAGTCGTGGTGGGGTATCAGATCTGGAGTTCGATGGCGTGTCCGGGGTTTTGCCCCAGTCTGACTTGTTCAACGGCAATGGTTTCACTTCTGGTGAGCCATCTTGAAGGTTCGCAAAGCTGCATATCCGTGATGGAGCCGCGTCGAGCTCGGTGAGGAGGTGACCCGTTAATCTTTCTTCGGTGACTGCTGTGATGGTGATGAAGGCATGTGACGAGCGTTGATGTACAGCTTAGAGATGTTTTGCTATCTTTTTAGTTTTTTCATGTCGGTCCTTACGTGATTTGTATTTTGACCTTTATGATATGAAAGACACGTATTATCATGTAAGAAAAAGCAAGAAACTGGAGGAGTTCGCATATCGGCTTTGCCGGCATTCGGATGCACGTACGATCCGGCTGAGACGTCCATACAGACCATGAACTGCACCAGTACGGCTGCATGCGTTAGTACGCGGGCAAGTTCCCCTATAAAAAGAGTACGTGGGCAAGTTTCCCATGCGGATGTACAAGTTAGTATGTGGAAAAATTATTGGCCTGTGCAGGCCGAGAGACTCTACTCAAATTGGTTGTTCAATCTATTCCTACCTATCCAATGAGTACTTTCCTACTGACCGAAAAAGTTTGTAAGAGTCTTACTTCACCAATGGTTAAATATTTTTGGAGTAGCTCTCTTAACAAGAAGTCATTGCATTGGGTGTCCTCGAAGAAGCTAGCCACACCCAAGTGTAAGGGCGGGATGGGTTTCGGAGACCCACATCTTTTTAATCTTGCTATGTTGGGCAAACACGGGTGGCGCTTCCTCACCAACCCGAATTCCCTTTGTGCAAGAGTTTTGAAGGGCCGCTACTTCCCCGACACTGACTTCATGCATGCTACTATACCCAAGTCGGCGTCGGCCACTTGGAGGGCGATCATGGCAGGGAGGGTAGCCTTTCGATCCGGACTGGTCTCTCGTGTGGACGATGGCTCCTCCATATCGGTCTGGAATGACAAATGGATACCAGGTACAATATATATGTCTCCTATTTTGCGGCCACAGCATACCACCATTGAGCGTGTGTCTGAGCTTATTGATCCATCTAACTGGTCGTGGAGGCAAGAGCTTGTTCGATATACTTTCATTGCTCTTGATGCTGAAGGAATATTAAATATCCCTATTCGGCAAGGAGGAGGAGATGATTTTCGTGCATGGGCATTCGAAAGATCGGGGAACTACACTGTGAAGATGGCGTACCGTGCTCTCGTGACTCAGAAAGAGCGTGTTGCTCTAGAGGAAGGGACGGCTACCGAAACCTCAGAGGATGATACATAGTTGTGGAAATCCCTATGGAAATTGAATGTCATCCCGAAAGTTAGAGTGTTCTGGTGGAGGGTTCTACGTGGAATTCTCCCATATGAGGCCGCTCTCAACTATCGACATATTGCAGAGATTCGTCGATGCAAAGTTTGTCCGGCTATGGACGAAAATCTGGAGCATGCACTCATACATTGTTCACATGCAAAACGCTTCTGGGAAGAAGCGTGTGCTTGGTTTGGTCTCAGATTGCTACATCTTCATCCAGATTCATGGGCGCGAGATATCACATGTGATCCTCGGTTTACAGATGATGACCGCGCCAAGATCACCATGATAATGTGGTCTATATGGTACTCCCGGAACCGGATTAAGCACGGCGAGGAGGGGAGGGATCCTACAGCAAGGATCAGGGCCACTAAGGAAGTGATCGCCCTCCTTCATCTACCACGATGAGACGCGATGATCGAAGACCACCAGATGATGGTGTCGTCAAGATCACTATGGACGGTGCCTTAAACATAGCAGATGGCAGGGGCGGTGCGGGAGGGGTGGCTCGATCCTCTTCGGCGCTCCTGGAAACATGGTGCAAGCCATACTTGGGCATCTCTGATCCCTTGATTATGGAGGGTTTATCACTACGAGATGGAGTTCGTTTTGCTTCTCTTCGAGGATTCTCGCACGTGGTAATGGAAGTTGATTGCTTGGAGATGGTGACGCCCTGGAACACTCGCCATAATTCTCGTTCAATTGTGGCTCCTTTATTGTTAGAGGTAGGAGAGCTATGTAATAATTTTACTTTATTTGTTATTCAGCATGTAAACAGATCAGCTAACCTCAAGCGCATCTTTGTGCAAAGCGTGCATGCACTTTGAATGTGACCGAGAGCTGGCTTGAGGAGACTCCTAGATTTTTGGTGACCAGCCTATTGGCTGATTGTCCCAAAAATGCTTTCATATGAATAAAGCTCTCTGTTTTCCCCATAAAAAAAGATAGATACATACGTTAGTGCATGGATGGCTACGAGCGAAACAAGTTCATGCAAAAAGAAAATTAGTGTGTCCATGTATATGAAGAATCATTTAGCAAGGACTTATCTATCACGTATATGTAAACATGCATGGCTTTTCTTCCCTCCCTTTATTTGTTTATACCATGCACAGATATTAACTTGTATTATTTCGTACAAAATATCATCGAACAGTTATTCATTACAGCGGTGCTTAATAAGAAGTCCAAAGGCTACATTCACGATACTATTATGGTAGGTACACATTGTAATGCGCACACACAATACAATGGACCGATGTATTAATCTTGTGGCACTACGGGAACGAGGAGGAGCTTCTCCTTCCGACGCACCGTCATCCCAAATAATTCGGTCATACTGATGCCACCTTCTATCAACTCTAGTGGTAGCTTCCAGTTGAAGTGGTACATGAGATTCGCTAGCATAATTTCAATGCTCACAGTCGCATAGTTCATGCCTGGGCAAATCCTTCACCCGGCCCCAAAGGGCAAGTATTGGAAGTCATTTCCCTTATAGTCCATATTTGCGGCGCTACCACATTCCATAAACCGCTCAGGCATGAACTCATCTGCATGCTCCCAACTACTAGGGTCCCTTCCAAGAGCCCAACTATTGATGATGACACGTATTCCTGATGGTATCGTGTAGCCCTTTATGTTGCAGTCGGCCATGGAGAGGTGGGGTATGAGGAGTGGCCCAGGCATATGGAGTCGGAGTGTCTCTTTAATGGCTGCCTTTAGGTAGGCCAAACTATCGAGATCGTCTTCGGTAACCATTTCTTTCCCCTTGGTAATAGTGCTCCTCACCTCAGCTTGTAGCTTGTTCATGAGGTGGGGTTTCCGCATGAGCCGGACCATCGCATATTCCAACACTATGAATGATGTATCTGTGCCAGCTTCAAACATGATCTACATACAAATGGATCCATATGTAAGAATCAAATCAACAACATATAAGCTATATCTGTGGATGTGCAATTGTTTTGTTTTTGTTTGTAAGGACGTACTTACCTCTAACTGAGCCTTAATATGGTCTCTCGTGAGTTGGTACTCTTGTTGGATAGAAAGCAACACATCGGTGAAGTCACTGTCTTCGCTGTTGTGTTCTGGCACCAACTTGCTTGCATGCTCATCGATGATATTATTGAGCAGGTTGTCCCACATCTTGTTCACCTTCTGGGCCTTGGCGCAAACCATTCTCTTGATGATGTCCATCTTCACTAACATGGGGAAGTGGTCCTCCAGGTTGAATCCGCCCAGGAGTAATGAGTTGGCCTCGACGAGCTCTCGGAAGAGTTTGTTATGGCCTTGTTCCCTGAAAAGCTTGCCAGACACAGCATGACACACAATGTCATAGGTGAAGGCGTTGAGAAGGTCACTCAGGTCGATGGCGGTGCATTTGGAGGCCGCATCGCAGATCTTGGCCACAACCAATCTCACCTGTGAATTGAAAATGATTAATCTTGGTACAATCCATGATGTGGACAACATGCATCTATGAATGGTGTCCCTTGGCCATAACAACATATATCTATCAATCAAGTAAGTTGTCTATATTTAAGTTGCCAATTTTTTTGAGATTTTCAATCACTTCTTTTACTAGACTTTGGATTCATTTGCATTTAAGAACTATCAATTTTCTAAACATGGTGCCCCTTGGCCATAACAAGACTATGAATAATGATTTGCCCTATTGTTGAGCCTACTTCAACTCTTTTGGGCTCAAATGGCTAGCATGCTCAATGTAAAACAATACTAAGAAGACTAGGCCCGTAAGGATTCCATTTTTCTGGTTGTTTTGGATTTTTTTACGGCGTCTTGGTAAATTGATGCGTGTAATCCTGAATTGTCACATCGATTTGAAGCTGTGTTTGACCACGTTATCATTTTGCATGTTCTATTTTGATGTGGCGAACGCTGCTTTCCTGGGCTTCGATCGTGTGACACGTACGGGGTACGATCGCCACGTTTCAGTTTTTTTACATCTGTCGGTTCAGCTGGTGGTTCCAGATATATCGTGATCTACCCTTCCATCGATCCTCTCGAAGGATCTGGTCAAATCCCATGCGACTCTTTCACCGCCCTCCGCCCGTATAAAATGCCTCCCGGACATGGGCATCTCAAAGACCTCGGTCGCCGTCCAGATCAGGCCCCTACCCCTGCCTTGCTTCATCCTCGTGTTCTCTTCCTGGCGCGCCCTCCCCCATCTCCTCTTCGCCGGGGTTATCAGCGACGGCTTTCGGGGACGCACGCAGAAGCCACGGCGGATCAAGAAGGAGCTCGCCCCCATGCGGGCGATGGGGCGCTGACGGCCTGATGATGGGCAGGGCGAGCGTGAACGCGTCCGGTGGCCGGCTGTGGGGGATCAGGTACGCTGCCCCACACTCATGCTACGTCTCATGTTCTTTTGCTCCCTTGCCACCGCGCTGTTGCCGCTCCGCTGCGGTCGCAGCAGTGCCCGCCGTCTTCCCCGACCTTCGCATGGTTGTGACGTTTTCCCATTACCCGTCTACACTGGGCCACCGGCCTGTGCTACGCTGCTTGCTACTCACATAGCCTTGTAGCTGCAGAGCTGGGTTTCTTCCCTGTCTTGTTCCAGTATTCTAGACTTGAGGCGTTCGTAATTTATTTTCTTATCAATTTGTCTTTTAATTTGTTGAACTGAAGTCTTAAAATTTTGCACCTGAAAACACTTTATGAACAGTTCAGCAAAAGCATTCTAAATTTCTAATTGATGAAAATGAAAACCGATTTACTGTCTCTAAAAGCGATCTTGATTTAGGCTGAAAAGAAATCAATTTAGAGTTATTTATTTGTTGGTAAGTATACTGATGCATGGTGCTATGATGATAGGATAAAAATAAATAACTTTTATATTTCTATGCTTGAGCCCTATTTCAATTTCAGGTGTCCAACCATTAATTTTTCATGAGGAGATGTACCTAATTTCAGGACTACATGTCAGTTATTCAGGTAATATAACTGTCTAAAAGGAGAGGGGCTTGGCTGCTGGCCTCCCATCAGGTTATGGCCCTCCACCGTATCCATCTTATTTTGCCGCTGATTAACATTTTAAAGTTGCATCCCACTGCAATGTGTTCATTTCTACAAAAGTTTGTGGCAGGAGCATAAAAGGGGACAAGATCACCTCACAGTGCCCTCTAACACGAAGATCCCAATGTATCGGAGGGCCTATCCAACCAGAGGAGGTGGCGGCAGAATCAGCACCGGCGACAATCACGGTGGATGTGATGTGCTTGGCGTGGTGGCGGTCCCCGGCAAAGTGGAGGGCCGCCGCCGTGGTGCTAGACTTGGAGCATGCATGTGTCGGTTATAATGTGGCAGCAACCTGGTTATCTTACACGATATTTGAAAGTGTTTTCCATGACCCAACATTGGTGAGTTCAGTTTTACTAATTTATTCTATGTAACTTCTCTGTTCTTATCAAGTTGGAGTTGAGGAAGCAAGCTTCTGGGACATGAGGAAGTAAGCTTTTGGGACATGGTACCATGCACGAATGCCCAAACTGTTAGTACATATCTTGCATCATCATATTAATTAATCTCATTGAGCTTTAATATTCCTTTTATCATACGTATTATCTTGGTGCAAGCAAGCGCAAAATGACTAATGCAAGGTAGCCGTGACATGATTTGCGCTGTAAGATTGATGGACCAGCTATTTTGAGCAACGTTGGAGAAAGGCATCCAAATTCATGGATACTTAGTCCTTCGACTAATGTTCCAAATGATCATGTCAGTTTGTGGGTTTCGAAAGAGGAAGATCATGAAAATTGGCATTATTTGTGCTGCTTCTTTTTCTGAACTATCCCCATCACAATCACTTGAGTGTATTGTTTTTGCAATTTTCAAACCATCCATCATTGACACCTACAGGAATCAATATTAATGTTTTTTTATTTTAAAATTGAATTTTACAATAAATGAACAAAGGAGCAAGGGACCATATAGGCTTCCACGGTTCTCTTAGGAGCACACTGCATTGTTACTTCTGGTTATCTAGACTAATTGATGCAATTTTGCATCGACATGGTATATTACCACCCAAGCTTTGGTTGTATATATTGTAGTTTATTTGTTGGCACAAGTACCCAAGTTGAATTTCATGATGCATACTTGCAATCTTGTTTGGTTGTTGCGAGGAACTTTCGTCTATTTATGTTTTCACTATAGATTTAGAATTTTCATCCACATCCTATTCTTTCTAATGGAAGGTGGATTTTCGTTACATTTTTCCATTTGTGGTTTAGGTAGGCCAGGTGAACTGAAAATAGTTTCACAAGTACACTATATGTGCCTTTACATATTTTTTTTCATTCTACTTAAGGTATGTGGTTTTTTAAGCGTCTCAAATTTCAGTTTGGTTTGATTTAATGATTTATCACTGTCTGAAACACTGGAGTTGTACTACTTGCAGGGGAATTCCAGACATATTTCATCCATTCAGTAAAGGCATATGTTCAAACATCCGTGGCTTCAGAAGTTCAGATTCACTTGAAACTCTGTTAGGTGAGTGTTGACACTTCCGAATAATGTTCATTCTAGCTATGATTGTTTATGTCAGTATACAGTTTGCTCTCACCTTTTCCCCAAAGTGCATGGGTAAGGCAGGCGGGGCACTGCAGCTCGAGCCATGGCCATGGCCGGTGCATGACAGTAATAATCAAATGGTTTGTTGCTTACCTTATGCCGAAGAGGGGTTGCTTCTGTCGTCCTCACCGTCCGTGTCCAGCACCTCGCCCTTGCTTCCTCCATGGACAATGTTGCGCCCTGCCCCGACACGCCCAAATCTGAAGAGAAGAGGTGGAACAAACAGGGCGTCAGTCAGTCAGCCTCTTCGATTCACGCATGGGACTCAGCGGAAATGCTGGCACTGAGGAGGGATTCATCACCTAATTGGTGCTTCGAGCCGTCGATGCCCACCGGCGAGGCAATCTGGTTCTTGGAGGGGCCGACTGCGCATGCACACATTGGGATTGGTCAGGGGCGTGGGCGAGAAGGGGAGGTAGGTGGAGGTGAATGCAGATGCACGTAGGGAGAGGTGCTTACTGAGCGGGGCGATGTGGATGGCGTCAAACTTGGTGTTGGAGAAGTAGACGCAGGTGACGAGGAGGAAGCCAGCGACGAGGCCGATGCCGAAGTTGTACAGCTTGACGGTGCGGCTGAAGGCCTCGAGTGGCGGTGTCGTGGTGGCGCGCGTAGCCCGCCTTGGCACCACTGCTATCCATGGCCGACTGACCTCCTCTCATCTCCTTCCTCTGCCTCTGCTCCTCTCTCCCCCTCCCTCTGCTCTGTTTGACTGTTGGCAAGACACGTGCCGAGGGTGAGCGGAGCAGGTGCGCCACACGTATGTAGCTAGCTAGCTGGGTGAGAGAGTACGTGTCCTCACGCGCTTATTACATCGCCGAAGCATGAATCAGCGGCATTGTAGTAGACATAATGTAAATCACATGTTACCCTTCTCTGTATTGCAACTCAATTCTACTACCAAACCTAAAAAAAAGAACACCCTATAAATTCATATGGCGCGGCGTGTGGCCAGGCATTGCATGTTGTCCACCATCTATGCAATCTTCCCAATATAGTCATCAACGACTACGACTACAATGCTCTGAAGACAATGTATAAGAGCTATTTGGCCGCCCAAGAATGGAGAAGGACCAAGAAAGAAGAGTTATTACAAATACAAAAACAACAAAAGGCAAGCCTTCAACGAGACAAATGAAGACGAATAAGGATACTCAAGAAAGTTTGCCTTCAATTTCAAGATATATCTTGCCAATCCACCGAGAGCCGAGATGTGCATCCACAAACTTAAAACCACCCATCTAGCCAGATGATCAACATCTCAGGTCTAAGAAAAGAACAAAAACTCTAACTAGACGAACCATTTTTTTGTATGCACTATTGCATCACGATCTCTCTGCTATGTACCATCTTTGCCAAAAAAAAGTCTTGGGACCACTTACAAAATATTAAAAAATAAACAAATAACTAATTAGTCCATGTGGCGCGGCGTGCCGCCGCGCACTACCTGCTAGTAGGCACTATAACTATGATATGAAAATCCACACAATTTCCTAGAAAGGAAAAGCAAAAAAGAACTTATTGTAGTAGATTTAGTACATTGAGTAGTATCACTTCTGTCTAACATGAAATAAAAAATAGTAAGACTGCAATAATTTGGAAGAAAGAGAAAAGCCAAAATTGAAGATTTTCACACATATTACAAAGAGTTTGCACTATACCATAATATGTAACAACAAGTACAAATTACCGCAACTCTAATTAATATAATTAAAGTAGAAGTTGATGTTGTACAAATGAGATGACTCATTCATCACATCACTTAGATTGATACTCTCTCTCTCTCTCTCTCTCTCTCTCTCTCATACAAAAAATGCTTCAAAGCTCCCAAATGGTTCTATATGAAAAATTATAATAGGAGTAGAATTATAAAAGACAGGTGTTTCTGATGTGAAAAAGAACCATAAATTTTGACTTATAAAATTGCACAGAAATTTGCAAATTACACTAGTCCATACATTGGAGGAGTTATTACTAATAACATTAAGTTTGTAGGAGCAATAAGAATTAAACGAAACAGTAAGGTTGGAGTTGAACAATAAAAGAAAATTCCATCTCTTTCACACACATGAGTGAGCATTTGCGCAAACCTCTTTCTAGCGGCGCAGGCGCGTAGTTGTCAAAAAAAAATCCACCGTTGGCAAGTGTTTCAAAATTTCTATATTTCCAGCTATTATTCCTTGTTTTTGAGCTATACAAAACCAATACCATCCTTTCCGGTAAATAAGCCAATACCATCATAAATACAGCTCCCAAGACCTCTCTCTGCAGACTATTCACTTGATCAGGCAGTTCTTCACCCCTCGATCGAAAACTGGCGATTGACGGTGAGTCACCGGCCAATGTTAAATCGGGCTCTACCGACAGCGGTAGCTATGAAGCGTGGGCAAGGACCTATGGCGAACACAGACGAGCAGAGATGTGCGGTCACGCCCGGACACCCGCGGAGGCCAGCAAAGACTGGAGGCGCAGCACGAAGCTCCTTCGGGCGTCCTGGTTCCAGATATGTTGGATCCTCGCCTTGGCTAGCCGATTTCGTCATTGTCCACGATATCTGCTCTGGTCGCCGTCGACCACATCTCTTCAACCATCGCCAACCTTTTAGCTTTCCTCTTACTACCAGCCACATCTAAAGCATGGAATCAACCTATGGTTGGATGGTTAGGAGGACAGTGGTATCCGCAATTCACCAGAGTTCAAGTCCTGGTGCTCGCACTTTCCTGAACTTATTTCACAATTTCCAACGATGTGCGTTTAGTGGGAGGAGACGTTTCCATCGACTACGAGGCGCCTGTGGTTACTTCATCAATCTCAAGATGATATGCCGGCTCAGTCTCTCTAAGGTTCTCATAGGGGTAAGGTATGCGTGTGTGTTCATAGAAATAAGTGTATGTGCGTATATATGAGTGCGTGCGTGTTCTAGAAAAAAGCCACATCTGAAGCATGTGCACCGGCATGGACGCCAAAGGGCACCGGGGAACCACCTTCTCCTGTGATTTGTCCTCCCGTGTAACAGAGAGTTTTGAGTTGATCTGGAGCTTACTATATGATTTAGCAATTAGTGGATGATGAATCAAAGTAGTGATCTAAAATGATACATATAAGTTTACAGATGTAGTATTTGTTATTTGATTGTACGATTCAGATTTGTTGATTATTTTTTTAATGGAAAATTAGTTATGCGATCTAATTGAAATAGTTGAAGTGTTCTGAAAATATGTGTGATATATGAACATAACTATTGGAAAAAATATGGAATTGAAATATATGTATTTTTTGTGAAACAAGCAAGTGGAAATAACGAGTTTCACTATTTTGTGAAATTTGAAATTAAAATAACTGAAATCTCTTTTTTGGAATTAATACCACTTTCGTTGAAATTGATCATTTGAGACAACTGAAACGGGCATTTTGAAGTCATTGGTAGTTTGTAACTATTTAAGTAAGTATTTTGAAGAAATTGAAATCGCTCTTTTAAAATATTGAAATGTAGTTTTGAAATAACTGAAAGAAGCCGTTTGAAATAATAATTGAAATCAATTGTTTGAAATAATATAAATATGTTTTATGAAATAACTACAATCATTTCTTTGAAATATTGAAATGGTGTTTTAAAATAACTAAAACAGTCCTTTCAAAATAGTAACTGAAATCGATCATTTGAAATAATTTAAATAGGTTTTCTAAAATAAATAAAATCATTTTTCAAAAAAATTGAAATGGATCTTTTGAAATAATAATTGAAACCAGTTTTTTTGGAGAAAAACATAAACCCAATATATGAACCGAGTGAAAATAGCTTTTTAAAATGATTGAAATTTAAAATTTGAAATATTTAAATCATTTTTTTGACTTTACATATGTATAGTAATTTAAAGTTTTAAACAATTTATGAACCCAATTTTCTTGTAACTCCTCACTCGAGCTCGACATGGGATGCGGCTTCATAGCTGATATGCAGTTTTGCGGGCTTTCAAAGGCTTATCAAAGACGGAACAATCATCATTAAACGAATTAGACAAGGCAACACCCACGCCATCAAACTCCAGATATGGCACCCCTGCACGACTAAGACGTCGAAGCAGGAAACTATACCTCCAGCGCACGATCCACCATCTTCAAATGTTGTCGATGCATATCACAATCTGCATCCGCTTCCGGGCTATATCTCAAGTTCCGCGTCGGTGTTGGAGCAAATGCCGTCGCAACGCCAAAGCCCGAGGAGGCTGGTCAACCATGAGGATACCACCACCGGCACACCATCCTTGGTTGAAGCTTGAAGGACTGGTTTCCAAATCTATTCCGACCAAACACCTCGACGGGAAAGGAGCTGAAAAATCTTCATTCAGCGTTGCCTTCGTCACCACCGAAGCCAAGACAATGAACGGTCTAAAAAACATAGACACAAAGGGTCTAAAAACAATCTATACGGATGGATCCGGCGACCTCCTCACCATCGACGTCTGAGATTGTCGGTGGAGGAGAGCCGCGTCGGAGAAACTCTCCTGCGGGCTGCCTTTAGAGATCGCTTTCTTTCTTCTAGTGCGGCCTGGCCCCGAAAATACAACAGTTGCAAAAGCTAAGATTGGTGTACAATATATGTATCAGTATAGCCCAGCCATAGAAAACCAAAGACATTCATTGGATAGATGTGTGTGTCGGAGGGCAGGATCTCATGGACAGCAGAAAGACAATCTAAGAAAAAACATAATAACTTAACGCATAAAAAAATTCAGCCAACTGAAAAGATAGCAAACATGCAGATGAAATTGATGCATGTTTACCTACCTCGTGCTCGCGGGCATGGCGGTAGGAGCGGACCTTCTTGTTGGTGAGAAGGTGCGTGGTGGCGATCTTCTTGACCTGCCGCCAGTGCTCGCCGTAGGGGGAGAAGGCGGCGTCCGCGGGGCCGTAGAAGAGGATTTCGGTGACGGCGGAGTAGGGCCGGGACGCGAAGACATGGTCGTGCGTGCGCAGCACGGCCTCCGCGGCGCTCGGCGACGAGACCACGAGCGTGGGGACGGCGCCGAGGTGGAGGAGCATGAGGCCGTCGCGGCCATGCTCGGCGGCAAGGTCGCGGAGGGAGACGTGCGGGAGGGAGCCGACGAGGTGCAGGTGGCCGATGATAGGGAGCCTACTGGGAGGAGAGGGCAGCCTGCCCAGTAGCTCTTCTCTGGCTCTCGCGGTGGCCGCGGCCGTCGACGGCGTTGCGAGGTGGCGCACGAGCAGGAGGAGAAGAAGAGGGCAGACGAGCAGGACAAAGACCAGTCCTAGGGCTGCATGTGGAGACCTCGCTTGCAGCAGCAGCTCATGGAGGGCATGCAAATGCAACGGATGAACCATCACGACCGCGCAGCGCTTCCTACACGAGAGGGTGCTTCACTGACTGTTTCTTCTACGCAGCAGCTCAGCTGGGTTTATAGCTACAAGGCTGGAGATTGCAGCAGGAGCAAGACATCCCTTATAGTCCATACTTATTCAGAAAACTCCAAGTGGTGACACGAACGTACGTCGTACTCTTTCAAGGAAGAGATTAGATTTTTGGCCTTTCGGTAAACGTTCTCTAGCAGCCGAACGGCCGAGCCACGCGCCGATCGCCTAATACGTACGCGCGTCTCGAGTGGGACGACGCATCCAGGTTCATCATTATCTCATCCTGGCCTATCGTTCCGGATGGCATGACCCCATTTCCCGTAAACCCGTAGGCATTCATCTGACTAATATTGGGAGCGGCTAGAGTACAGTCGACTGAAAACAACATTTTGGTCAGTCCACTGACCTCAATCTGTTTCACTCGATCTGTGTACTAGCTTGGCTTCCCTTGGGTGGCAGTGGACCGGCCGGTGCATGCTTCTCTTTTCACCAACTAATAGTAAAGCTGAGTCGCCGAATTCTTTAATCTCATACTGTTTCATAAGAAAGCGGTGCTATGACGTGTTGTACTGCGCGTGTGTAAGATGAGATGAGATGAGCTGAGCCCGAGTGGACAAGACGTGATTAGATTCACCAATGATTGGTGCATGGTATGAGCTGATAATATGTACGTACAAGAAGATTGCTAGTACATGCTTCCAGCCGAGATTGCACCATAATCACCTTCTAGTACATGAGTACGTGCTTGAAATTGTGTTTTTATAATACGTAAAATTAAGTATACAATAGTATAATTTTGTTTTAGTTCAAACTTGAACTAAAACCACGACAATAATTATGGAGCAGAAGGAGTATGACTTACTGGCATTGATATTACCTTTAAAAGAAGAAATAAAATGAAATAAAAACTAAAACAAAATAAAAATAATGATCTTTTCTAAACAATAATGAAATAATTGGATTGGTTTACCCTTTCAAAAAAAGTAATTTAAAGAATAATGTCATAATTTGCACACAATTTACGCATCAGTTACGATTGTTTACAATATTTAAGAATAAGCATACAATACATATTTTTGCAAAATGAATGTTCCCTAAGACGTAATGAATTGGTGCCACTAGTATTACCCATAAAGAAGAAAATAAAATCAAATCAAAAAATGAATTTTTATGTGAAACAATACATTAATGGCATTGGTATTACACCTTATAAAGACGAAAAACTGAAAAAAAATGAAGACAAATAATGACAAAATTTGCACACACTTTACACAGAAAATGCACTTTAAAATATACGTAAGAATAATTATATAATAGTGAAATGTTGGAAAAAAAAGGGTTCAATATGAAGAGTGAATTAGTGGCATTGGTACTACCCTTAGAGATGAAAAAGGAAAATAATAAAACAAATAATGACAAAAATTGCACGCAATTTACACTGAAATTGCACATTTCTATAAATGCAAAAATAAGCATGTAATAGTGGAATGTTATGCAAAGAATTTTTTTTAAACATGAAATAAATATGTGTCATTAGTATTATATGTTTTGGAATGCTTATTTTGGAAGGTATCATTGGTATTACCCTTAAAGAGAAAAGAAAATTGAAACAATCGAAAAATAATGACAAATTTTGCACACAATCTACACGGAAATTGCGCTCTTTTATAATATACAAGAATTAGCATATAGTAGTGAAATTTTCTCCAAAAAATGTTTCTGAACAAGTAATGAATTAGTAACATTGGTATTACCCTTAATGAAGAAAGAGAATGAAATAATAACTCAAGAAAAAACAAAATAATGAAGTTTTTTAAGTAAAAATGAATTAATGGCATTTGTATCACCCTCCAAGAAGAAAGAAAATGCAAAATAAACTCAAAGAAATAATAACCAAATTTGCACACAATTTACACATAAACTGTATCTTTTTATAATATGCAAGAATAGGCATGTAAAAGTGGAACTTTCACGAAAAATAAATTGTAAGATATGAATGAATTATTATCATTGGTATTGCCCTTTAAAATAAGGAAAATAAAAATAATGACAAAAA